AAAGAACAAGTTATAGAGATGAAATAGGGGTTGTGATTGAATAAGATGGAGGGTGTAATAGAGAACTGAGAATTTAGACTTTGGGATAATTATAATATCAATATGCAAAATTTACCCACGGGGACCAAATTTCTTAGGTGATTATTTGATAGAAGGGAATTAACTTAGGAAATGAGGGAACAGCTGGCTTGTGTCAGCTTTTTTCTTTTATTTATTTTTCATTTTGCTGAAAAATTGTCATCTCATCCAGTTTCAGATTTTGCTTTGTTTTTTCTATAATGAAACATTATTCCTGGTTGATTACTTGTCAATGTTGTTTTCTGATTATTAGCAAAACAGCTATTAGCTGTTATATATATATATATATATATATATATATAATAATAAAATATCTGTAAAAAGACAGTATGAATGAAGATGAAAAAAAGACTTCACTTTATCAACACCTTTTGCACTGAGAGATTTTATCAAGGTAAATCTTTCAATTTGTGCATGTGTGTATGTATATATATATATATATATATATATATAAAAAGGCTTAAACACTAATATTCCATGGTCATAATTTATTCCATTGGAATCGTAAATACGATCCAATTCATCAGACCTACAAATTCAAAAGAAAACAGAAAAAACAACTCCGGAAATAAAAACAGAATTTAGAGAGAGTGTAAGTATGAGGGGTAACAGACTAGAGAAGGAGCAACCAGCAGAGAAAATGCAAGAAATCTGTCAAATCCTTACCAATACTTCACAAGAAATCTACCAAACCTTTACCAACAACGGAAAGATACCACATTGTTCTGATATGGTATCTGACAAAACAACACTTAACTCGACAGAGTCAGTCATGATAGTAATATTCAATGCTCAGCTAGATTATTCACTGCAATAGTATTATCCTTTTTTCTAGACAAAAACCCAGGACTGCTTATGATAGTAAGGAGGGTAACTTGCTCTTACCACAACATCTTTCATTTTGAGACTTACTTTGTATGGAAGTTGTACTTTTCTTTTTGGGTGAAGATCCAACACTTCTATAGGCTATCTCTTCCTTTTACTGGAAGCATGTGGTTTTCGGAGCTAGCTGAGGTATAGATACATCAAAAACCTCATGAAGAACCACCATCAGCTCCTCCTCTAAGATGCTCTGTTTGTCCGACTATATCTGTCTTATTTGATTTACATGTCTCTTATGTACCCATGTAAACCCTTTTATCATGTACAATAACTTTCTGATATGTCTCTTGATTACTCCATCACATTCCTTTCCATTTCTCTAAGTTTGCTGGGTTTGAAGCATTTCTGGGTTTCATATTTTTTCAAACACCAATCTAATTTTCCTCAGAAACGTTAATTCTGCCATGGACATACCAGATACAGTGTCAGGATTAGGTGTCAACTAATATACAATAAAAACTGCTGTAATAACATCCTTAGTTTCACCTCCATTGGTTTTTTTAATGCCCTTTTGAATTTATCAACGAAGTGTTCTGCTAGCCCATTTAATCTTGAATGATAGTGGGTAGTTTTGATATGTTATATTGCAAAGATTTTACAAAAACTTTCAAACTCTTTAACAGAGAATAGAGTGGTGGTGTCCAAAACAATGGTATCTGGAATATTGTATCTATCAAATAATTCATACAAGAAGTTTATTGTAATTGTAGAAGTTGAACTCTTGCATTATTAAAATTTCTGACCATTTAGAAAAATCATCAACAACAATTAGGTAGTAGACACCATTTAATAGTCACACATAATTTATGTGTAATCTTGACCACAGTGTGTTTGACTTTGGCCAAGGGTGGAATTTAACTAGTGGTGATTTTGCTGCTATGGCACAACTGCTGTATGCAGTTATCAATGTCTTTGTCCATATTTGGCCAGTAGACAGAACTTCACATGAGGGATTTTATTCTAGAGATACCTGGATGACCTGTATAAAATTCTTTCAACATCATTTTCTGAAGAGATTCAGGCATTACCACTCTTTCACCATACATTAAGAACTCATCACAGATAGAGAAAATATGGTCACCATCAGTTTTTGATTTTATTTTATTTTTCTTCTTTCAATTTCCACCTTACTTGATTCTTTTTTTTCTGTAATAAAAGTATCCACCTGAGCTTTTATTTTAATTTCATCCAGTGTCACTGGTAGATCATGTACGGTATTACAAAAATGTTCATAATTTCATTCTAAGCTCATAGTGCTGAAATTACTCTACATAATTTAGTTCCAAGTCTCAACAAACCTGTTTGACTTCACTTTTTTGATGGCAGGAATTCTGTTTTAAAATTGTAATGTAACAGAATTGTCCCCCATCACTATTGTCAATTCTCTGTACTGGGGTACCCTTTTTCAACCTAGATAAATAGATAACTATGGACAGTGGTCAGTCTGTAGGGTTAATCTTCTATTGGTGATGAATTTATGAAATTTTTTCACAACAAAAAATTATTCCCAACACCTCTTTTTCTATCTGGCTATAATTCTCAGCTGATAAAAGTGTTCTTGATGCATGTGCTATCACCTTTATAGAACCATCTTTGTGCTCATGCAAAATTATGGCCCCAAATCCATAGTTACTGGTGTTGCTCACCATGATTATATCAAATTTTGGATGAAAATGCAAGAGTAATAAGACCAACATTAGAATCTTTAATTTTTACAAATGCTTTTTTGGCTGTCCAATTCCACTTGGAGTATTTTTAGTAAATTGTTTAATGGTACTCACAAAAAGTGCATGTTCAGAATAAAAACACAATAAATTGTGAAACCTAAAAATGCTTGTAAAGATGGCACATTTGTTGTGGAGGGCATTTTTTTTTTTTAAATTGCACTTACTCTGGTTGGGTCTGGGTTCCTACAGTTTTTGTTGCTGATTTAGCCACAATATTTATTTTCTATCCTGAAAAATTCACATTTCTCATCACTAGATATAAACCTGTATTTGTTTATTTTTCTGAATACCTCACTTACATGCTGAATATATTGCTCTAAATTTTCATTTTATTAAAATACCATCTAAGTAGGTTATCATGAAGTTTAGATCACTCAACATTGTGTCCATTATGTGCTACCTTAATTTTAAATTTAATTTGTTAAACTTGTATAATCCCTGTGGGTATTGATTAACAGTTTTTAATATTCTTCATTAACCTAGATTTGCAAATATGTGTCCGACAAGTTCAATTTTGAATAATACTTTCTACCATTTATCTTTGTGAAAATTTCTTGTGGGTAATTGTAAGCTAAATTTTTTTTTTCTACATAGACAGTTGGGGAGTCCCAATCGCTATAATCCACTTTGGTGATCACTCCTATATTTTCCAGGTGATCTAATTCCTTGTTTATCCCATCCAAAGCTGAAAAGGGCATATTTCTTTTTGGTCTAAAAATTTGTACCACATTTTCTTTTAAGTGGAACTTGGCATTAATTTTTGTGCATCCTCCTAACCCATCAGAAAAAAAACTTCCAGAAATTGATTTTTTAATTTGTTTTTTTAGCTTTTCAGAGTTACTACAAGTGCCATACACTTTTTTTACCAAAAGATTTTATGTGCAAATTCCATAAATTGAACATTCGCATCCAATCTGTTCTGAAAAGTTCTTTCATCCTGAATGTTTCTGCCTTCACTGTTTTCCCATAAAACAATATATCTGATGTGAACCTACCTTTAAATTTCAATTTTTGCCTAACAACATTCCAAGCAAATTTTTGATAATATATTATTAGGTTGGTGCAAAAATAATGACGTAATGATGTCGTTTTTTGACGTTAAAAAATACGTCCAAAAACGACATTATTACGTCATTATTTTTGCACCAACCTAATACCAATTCTTGGTTTACCAATTCTTTCCCACATCTCTTTGTTTATAATAGTCATTATATATCTGACTGTGTCAGGTTGAAATAAAATCCCATTATGGTTTTTTTTTTGATGAAAATTATTACTAAGGCAAATACTGCCAAAGTACTTGCCAGACATAGTTGTAGATCTACCATGTATCATTTTTGAACCATTTAGAAAATAAAAATAACTCCTTTCACCACTTCCATAAATTGGAGAATAAGATTTTTGCAAGTCAGCATGAAATTATTTTCTAACTAATGAAAACCTTGTATTCAAAGAGTTCACACCGCTATGTGAAATTAAATTTTGGATCTCCCTTACTGATATATAAATAGAAGCATACTGCTTCTCAGGGATCAAAACAATTTTGGAGTCCAGTTTGATATATCCACACATTTCACGCTATACTAAGAACATTTAATTACTTGAAAAAACAAACTTCACTACAAGTGAAATTAAACATTGTATATTTCTGAAAAGAATATATAAATTATTTCAACTGACATTCTGCTAGTTTTCCTTTAGTGAATAACATTTTTTTTATGTTTCATTTAAAAGATGTGTTGTTAAATGTTTGGAATCCTGATACTCAGATTAAAACAAAAACCTGACTAGACTCATCCCAACAAAGCCTTTTTTATGCACATTTTGACACCAAGTGAAGGGCTTCAAAAAAAAAAAATAAAAAAACAATAGGCTAAAAAGCTTAGCCTGTGAAATACACAGAAGAATAATAAATATATCTTTGTCAATTTGTACCTTTTCATAGTGTTTGAAATTAAGGTATGATCTCTCTCCCTCTATATATAGATAGATAGCATGTGTATTTTAATATATGCTACATTATCAACCTTTTGCAAGTTATATAAACCAGAAAAAATTTTTGAGGATGATTTACTGATACAACTCTTACTAATTAACCCATAGCTGGATTCATACATTTATATAAACCAGAAAAAATTTTTGAGGATGATTTACTGATACAACTCTTACTAATTAACCCATAGCTGGATTCATACATTTTGTATGGATATTTTTGTATTGGTGAATATAACAAACCAAGCAGTAACTGGAATTCAGCTCTCCAATTTCCAATTCTGAGCCATTATCTATTACACCTCCTGCATATCCAAACTCACAGCAGCTGGTATTCTCAAGAGATCACCCTCTTAATACTGACCAGACTCAACATTGCTTAACTTCCGTGATCATACAAGAACTGGTGTTTCAATGTGATATGGCTGTAAGCCATCTCATATGACTGGAAACTTTCTGATATAGCAATTTAGTTGTAAATTATCCATAATAGGAAGAATGTAGAGGTACAGTCCAAGATGTAAGCTATGAATTGCAGATGTCAAATTCAAACAAATACAGAAGTTTAAATTATCTTGGAAGTTTTTTTTTTTTTTACCAGAGGAGGAAAAAAATGTTAAAAAATCTGAAGGGATATTGGAATAGCAAAAAAAATATTTCAAAAACTAAATGTAATAACAAACTGGAAAATGTTAAAAAACAAAGATGGCTGAACTGTTACATAATATCAATCATCCTATATGGTAGTGAATACTGAACAATTTTTTTTACAGATGAAAATACTTGTGGTAGCATAAATGTGGTTCTACAGAACGATGCTAAGAATATCATGGACTGAGCATGCAAGCAATGAGTAAGTTTTAAGGAAAATGGGAACAAAAGGGTACTTATACTTAGAATCAAACAAAAACATTTCTGGGATACATAATAAGGGGGTGGGGACTTTGGTAAATTTGATATTCACAGAAAATAATTGAAGTCAAAAGAGTCTTGGGTTGGGGTGTACCTACCCAACCAACTTGTTAGCATGGGGTAATGGTTAGAAAAACTATTCTGGTTTACAATTACTACTGAATGGTGGGTTCAATTCTTACTAGGCAACTCATACAAAATTTGATAAGAAATAACTTGGAAAGGATTGAAATATCATAAAATCAAACAACTTAATTAAATAAGCACCTCAGTATGGGGTAATTTTGGGGTTATCATTGCTACTGAGTAGTACATTCAATCCTTACAAGTTGACCCAGACAAAATTCAGCATTAAATGACCCAACAAGGTTTGTCAAGTCATAAAATAAATGAACCAAACTAAATAAATTCCTCAGCTTTGGGTAATATCAGAAAGGCTAATCTGGTTGATGATTAATACCGAGTAGTAAGTTCAATACTCACTGGGTGCCCCATACCAAAATTCAATATTAAATGACCCAACAAGGATTCTATTCTATAAAATCAACCATCTTCACCTAACCATATGATTTTTTTTATCAGTTACTGCATATTCTTTATTCTTGATGAAATTCACAGTCTTTTCTCTTTCCTCACTATTTTTCTCTTTTTTTACTTTCATTTTCTCTCTCTTTATCTCTTTACCATTACTCTTAATCTTATCTAAACTTCTTTTTTCTTTTCCCCACCACTCTTCATTCTATTTTTTGCACTTTCTATATCCTGTTTATTCTCCTTTTCTGACCATCTATCCAACTCTCTTGAAAGGCACTTACTCTTTCTAATAAATTTCACATCATTCTTCCTACTTTTGAATCTATTCTTGGCAATCTTTCTTCTCCTCTTCCTGTCCATACTCTCCTCTTTTCCTTGCATCCACTTTTTACATATCTGCCTAGAGTTACATAAATGCTGCAAGCTAATGATGAGAATGCAATGTGTACTTCATTCAAAATGTTATTACTTGAACTCACGGAAAATGGCCACAAGGGAGATTGGCACAAATAAAATTCTTCAAGAGTTGCATGTGGGCAGGGAAAAGAAGAGAGATGTGAAAATAATTCTTTGTTCATGTGGTTGGAGACCCTGTGAGTAAAAAAAAAAAAAAAAAAATAGTTCAGAAAATTTTTTCTGAAGACATTGGATCAAATAAATAGACTGAACTTGTATCACAAGATCCACACATCCAAAGAAGCCCCACCCATCAAAAGAAACACTAAACAAAATCTAGTTTGAGATAAAATTGAAATTATACTTCAGCTGAAAGAAAATGCTCAACAGAAATATATCAAATAAGAAATATCAACTGCGTGTTACAGGAAGAATCAACTTGAATTATTAGATCAAATTTTAACCGATAAATGAGCTGACAAAAACATAAAAAAGAATTGATATGTATTGTGTTCCTTCAAGACATTGGCAATCACAGCTCTGCACATCTTACTCTCCTTTGTAGCTCTTAGCAATGTTTGTCTTTACTAACCTACCCTTTCCTGGTTCTGTCATCCATTGATACAAGCTTGTTATATTACTGTTTCCCTATCCCTCTTGCCTACATTATGCTCTGAGTGTCAAATTCTCCAATCATTCTTTCCTCATGGTATGGCCAAGAAACATCAACTATCTCTTTCTGATTCTAAGTATAACAGCCCATTTTCATTCCTATTTTATTTAAAACTTCCTTAAATGGTCACATGTTCTGTCCATGGTATTTTCAGCATTCTTCTGTACAACTGGTCCTGGGTATGATGATAAACTATATCTGGCAGTAAAGCCTGCAATTGGGAAATTGGAGGTTTTGAGGAGTGTGGAACCACCTCTTAATTGCTATTGTTTCCAGGTGCACCCTGACCTTTGGTGGTAACACCTGTTAGGGTTCTAGTTATGGGCAAATAGTGACCCCCCCACCTAAACAAAACGCTAGGAAACTATAAAAATACATTTTTATATATAAAAAAAGGACCAACAATACATTTTTTATCTGGAGTTGGAGATATACAATTGTTTTCAAATTATATAGATTTCAGCATTAAATAACCCATAGAGGTGTTGATATGCTGCTAAGCAAAATTAGCCAAGCAACCAACATGAAAGAACTCTTTCCTGACATTAATTCATATAATATCCAACAACTTTTTTAAAATCAGACTATTCCAAAATACAACTTAAAAAAACTACAACATAAAACATACATATCACTGCTTCTAGTAGTTATGACCACACAAACATGTATATTCACAAAAGCTGAGTTTCATCTGCCATGTATTCAATTGTGAAAGCAGAATAACATATTTTTATTTCTTAAAGAAATCAAACTGTACTCAATAAAACTACAACACAAAACACATATCACCGTCTCTAGTAATTGTGTTCGCATAAACATCTATACGCACACAAGCTGAGTATCATCTACCATGTATTCCATTGTGAAAGCAGAATAACATTTTTATTAATTTAAAGCTCCCAAGAAAATTAAATTTTGGCATTAAGTGACCCATAAGGAGTTCATATGCTATTAAACAGATCAATTGTCTAAGAACTGCTACTTTGTGGGACGGGAGCCTGCATGGAAACATCCCTGAACACAACAATCTTAGCCTGTTCATGATGCATTTGTCAAATCCCCCATAATCTTCCGTACTTCCTTCTCTTACATCCATACCACTCATCTCATTCTGTAAGGTTCTACCTTGAGTGACACTTGAGCATTGCATTTACTGAACATTAATGTAAAAAAATAAAAATAAAAAAAAAAATTTTTAAAATTTAAAAAAAAAAAATCACTCCTCTTCCCTCTGTGAGGATATTGTTTAGCATTCAGTGCTATAAAGCATTTCAGCATTCCTTGTTTCTAATAAAATTTTCCTGTTAATACTTTAAACAAAGTAATACAAAGAAATACTTTAAACAAAGGACATTGGAATACTGAAAACTGCCTTAACAATGCTATTTAGCATTGTGAAAGCAGTTTTCAGTATTCCAATGTGCTTTCAAAATTTGATGTCACATTTCCTATCATTTTTTAAAACACTTCCCAGACTTAAACTTCTCTACTTGTTAACAACCATACATTCTGTCATTTTACAATTGATAGTTTTATATTAATACACAAGATCAAACTCAAGAAATTTGATTTTAAGCATAAACCAGATGTAAATGCTGGATCAATGTGAAGCACTACCAAGTTAGAATACTGGATCATGTCAAAAAAATATTCTACTCAGATCTGTCTTTTTAACTGCAAAAAACTAAAAATTTCTAAGAACCTTGAAAGAAAAAGAAAAATTGCAGTTGATACATAATTGATTGCCAATTTGTTTTTTTTTTTACAGCTTAACCCTTTGTAGGTTATTTAAATCAAATCATTTTTGAGAATGTAAAAATTTCTTTTTTTCTTTGACGAGTGAATATTACATTAACAATTTTTTGAGAATAACAATGATTTTTTCTAGATACAAGTCCTGCTATTTAGCCTGTAGTTGGGGGAGATGGATTCATACCTTTCCAACTGTATTTGCCCATAAGCAAATGTAACAAACCTAACTGGAATTTGAATTTGGCTCTCCTGTTTTTTATTCTGAATTAATATCCATTACACCAGCTACATATCCTCTGTACAATGTGGATGAGATTAAGGAGGATGTTAAGAAATGGAGTGTTTGGAAGTAGAAAGAATGTTAGAATTAGTATATGAGGTTTAAAGAAAAGTACTTTGAAGGGGGCTAAAGTGGCACTGGCCTAGGTAGGCTGTATTTTTGTTAATAGACTATACTTTCTGGATAGACTTATTCTGTAATCATACAATACTTCAGTATTTACTTTGGTAGATTATTAGTGAGCAACATAAAATGTGCGTTCTTTTGACTGACCTGCTTTTTGGTCAGGCTTTTATGAAAGGAAAATCTTCCGAGAATGGGAAACTATTTCTTTTTATTTTTAGAGAGAATAGAATTGCTACTTATTTACACATTAACTCTATCTTCCTTGAAAAATGAAGAATAAAGAAAAAAGAAGAAAAAAAGAAGAAAAAATGAAGAGTTAAAAATAAAAAAAAGAAAAAAAAAGAAAAGGGAGAAAAATATTCAATGCAATCCCAACCTTTTTTTTTCTGTAACAATATCATCTCAACCTTTCCCTCAAAGAATTTTTACCGTGGACACTTTTTTTTTTTTTTTTTTTTAGCAACCTCTCAGTATTTCCGTTCAGCTCTTAGCAATGACACCTCTTGCCACTTGCTCATTCAGTTTCTAACTATTGCCTGAACCCACTCTGCCTCACACTTTCATCATATTCTTTGAAATTTTCCATTTTATTTGTTCTTATATTTCCTTTTCTTCTTGTTTCATATTCTCCGTCCTTCCTGCTTTTCATCTGACCAAATATCTATTTCTAACGTCTTTGTGTATTGTCTTGCTTGTTTGTTTTGTTTAATTCAGTTCAACTTCTTTTTTCTTCTCGTTCTCTCTCTTTTCAGCTCTTG